CCTGACATCTGCTCATGGCGCACACACACATGCACATAAACAAGAACATAAATGTATACGCAAATAAATGTTTGTGTTTGTGTTTCTAAAGATGAACAGTCAGGTTCTTAGCAGTGTCAGTGAAATGTTTGGAATCTAAGTAATTAAAAACAAAATAAGAAAGACATTCATAATTTACAAAATAGCCAGATGCAGACATTGATCACATTTTAAAAGCTAGTGGTGAAAACAGTATGTTTGGTACTTTTCTAAGTGAGGCCTACCTTAGATCTTTGCTTGTATACTTCCTAGTTTAGAAGAAAACCATCTTGAACACATTACCACTGAGTATTATTTTCTAGAGGGGCTTCTCACTGTCTAGCAAAGAATTACAGTGCTTCAAGAACACAGCTCTTATTTGCCTTTTTCTGTAAAAACAAGGAGATGAGTTCACATATTAAAGGTATTAAAATACTTAATCAATTTCCCATTTCTTAGCTTTCTCTCATCCCTTGCCCCCTCAAAAATAAAGTTCCCCTGTATGTGAGAATGAAAGGATTTCTGAATTTCTCTCTCACCTTATTCCATTCTCCATCTAATAGCTTCAGGAGTGATTTCCGGTTTCCATTGGACATATTTGTGGAGTTATTTTTTTGTCCTTTAGTCTCCATACTTTTAGTCTTCTTCTGTCTCTAATAATTTCCATTAGATTTTTTTATAGTATTTGAAAGGCATAATATCTGAGAATCTTCCTAATGTATTTCCCCTTTTCTTTTCCTTAAGCCAGAGTAGACATTTTCCTCTTGATACGTCGTCAGTGACGTTTGGTGTCCTCTCTGCCTTGCTCTGAGTCGGCAGCAGCACTGCATTTCCCGCTCCACACGGAGCTGCGCATGTCCGTGTAAATATGGGTAAAACTGACTGACTTTACTCCTGGGCAAAAAGTTGAAAAGCACAAGAAAGCAGCAGCACGTTCGTTTTAAACTGCAATTCGTGGTGACCGATTTTTTTTTTTTTTTTACGATCAGTTACCTGCATATATATGAGATTCATTAGATAAGCTAAAAACATTGAGAAGGAAGAAGGCTAATTATACCAATATGATTAGGGAAACAGCATAAGCAACTAAGTACAATAAATTTTTATTTTCCATTTATATGCAGATTAATGCTTTCATTT